GATTTCTCCCTGTGTCCAGAAGTTATGGCCATAACAAATTTGGCAACCATGAAGGGACTTGACGAACTCTAAGACGGGGACATGGGACCGCGGATACTTTCAGAGTGTACACGAACAAAAGGTGAGCAGAGCCGTTTTAATAAAAATCTGTTGAGGTAGTCTATAGGAACCTTTGCCGAAAGTGTTCACAGACCGCATGGTCCCTGAAGGCTTCATCTGGTCACGGGGAGAGACCGCAGAGTAACCTGAAGCTGGAAAAGTGCATTCTCCTGAAATTTGAGGTAAATCGGGAAGGTACGGGAAGACAGTTACAAACTGAATATGAATACTAGTATGTGATGTTTAATTTGGTAATCTAAACAAGGTGGTTTGGTGAGTAGTAGCTCTGCATGGTGATATTTGAGTGAGTGGTAACTCTGAATAGTGCAGTTCAGGCGAGATAACAGAGCCTTGAGTGAGCTACGGCGGACTGAGATCGCGAAGCGAGGTCTCTTGGGGTCTTGCATTTGCGTCTTGGGTCTAGTAAACTAAAGGCTCAAATATACGGGAGGGAATAAATTGAATAGTTCCAGAGGGTTTTGGCTAGAGTTCGCGCCGTTACCACTCTGTGTAGTTGACCAGCTGGGCTGGCCTATTAGGTGGGCCTTGTGAGAACTCTGCCCCACGGGACATAATGATACGAGCTTAAACAGCCGAAAAGAACGGGGTCACGCTTTCGTTAGCCATTAGCTCCGCTGGAAGGAGGCAGGCTGTAACAAAGCACTGGTTTTGACTTGAGTTCACGGGGAAATAATCTGGGGTGGGTAGACAAGAAAGAAGGGGAACATAGTACATTGTATTAACGGTGTATTTTGCGATGAATGATTGTTGCAGTGCTGAAAGTTATGTTGTAAGACAGGGTAACGTATGGTGTGAATGAATTGTTTGAAGCCGGGAGCTAAAGGCCTGCTCCGGTGCTTACTTTAGAAAGTTTAGATAGTTAGATAAAAGAGGAGATTATAGAAAAATAACCGGTACGTTGGTGGAAGACCAAGGCTCGGTCTAGTTAAATAAAAAGTGTGTGGATGTGGATTGATATTGCATTAAGATTTCAGTTGATAGTGTGGTCAACTTGATGAGGTTGGCCTAGCTTCGTCTGTTAGCTTAGCTGCTTTGTTAGCTACAAAGCTCATGTGGTAAGCACACGTTCTCCGCCAACTAGCGGACAGGAGCAGTAATTGCTTGATAATTACAGAAAACTCCTTTACCTAGAGTCCCGGAGGTGTAAATACTTTAGTTAATTTCCATTAACAGTTTTAGTTTTGATTCAACACTTTTGGTTTCCATTAATAGTTTTATTTTTAATTCGACATTTTAATATTGTTAGTTTGTTTCGTTTTTTGTATCAACATGGGATTTAAGAGTGGACTAAATTGGGGTTCCTTGAAAAAGGCAGTTTTTGCCTCCAAAAATGTGATCAACTTGGAGTGTGCTTGGAGCAGAGAAAGAGGTGAAGCCGATACAAATAAATTGATGTCCAAGAGGGAAAGAAAAGAAATGCAACTGTTTAAAATAGACTGGAAAGCATATGTGGAGAGAGAGGAATGCAGGGGTGACACACACACACACACACACACACACACACACACACACACACACACACACACGCTGCTCGCAGCAGCAGAAAGGGGGGGGGGTCACACACACACAGAAATCTAGGACTTGGATTGTAAATTTTTATCTCTACATGAGACAATGTTGTACAGATGTATTCTAACATTTACTGCTGAATTCTGGGTAGTTTTTGTTTTGTTTTGTTTGTTTTTAGTCGAGGTACATTGTCGAGTGGATCCAGATCTGGGGACTCCGCTTCGCTGCCCTATGCTCCCCAGGAACAGACAACATGACCGACACCCACCACTCAACATGCCGAGGATGAAGAAGACGAACGAGACACATCAGAGTCTACAGAGTCAGCCCTGACTGAAGGGTTTCCGCCATCCATGAGCCTGAAAAACGTCATGCAAGGGAATTGTGTGACATGGACAGAGAAGTTTCGTCAGCACAGATCCAAGAATGCCCAGCGGACAAGGTATCAGGCCATGAGAGGAAGCTGAAAGACGGGGCTGAGACTTTGAGACACACCAACTGAAGACTTTGTGTGCCATAAATGTGGCAGCTTGAACATTAAAGAAGAGGCTGCTCATTCTCCATGAACAAGGAGTGGGGGAAGGTCTCGACAATCAGCCATCAGACTGGGGGGTGCAACAGGCAGCAGAGTGGACCCTAGTTTTGGGTCAACGACGCGTACACAATACAACACAGAGGGTGAGTTAACTTTAGATAACAAACTTGTATATTTAATACACAGGTTAGAAACTAGACAAACACCACTCACACCCATATAGCACATGTATTCGAATGAAATTGAAGGATTTAGAAAGTTAGAGTTTATTGGACAGAAAATACTGCTGATGTCTCCGTTTCTCTGTCCCAACACAATCTGAGTTGTAAAAGGAGATTCCACATGTGTTCTGGTACGAGGACCAGGAATGGTGTGGAAGGACATGTCTGACTGGCAGCAAGTCAGACTCAATTCACTGACTTCAGAAACACCGAGGATCCTGGCAGCAGAGCTGGTTACACCCACTGAGACAGCGGCTGCGTTGACCCCCCTACCCCCAAACCACTCCACAACCTCCAACCGGAAAGGACAAAGGCACTGGCAAGCTGAGCGGTGTCATGGACAGTTCTCCTCACCACCCACACGAGAACGAGCTACCTGAACACTGAGTCACTGCACTCACAGACTCACCTGAACTTTTTGACAGTGATACACACTTACATGAGTGAAGAACAAATTCACCACCATTGGACGACGATGAAACACCCAGAACTATGTGACCTTAGAGGCACAATGTGTTGTCTACTGTTTTTAGCATGTAAATTGTAACACCTATTCTGCTTACACATCATGATGACACCTATGTGTAAAGAATAATCCTTTTGCCTCCACAGCTTGTACTTACTTTAGTAATGCTACACGAGAACTGTTAAAAATGCTTCTAAATTTTTTAGAAATATACAGGGCAACCAGTTATGAGTAGATGATGTATTGATGGATACAACTGTTTAATGTACTCACTCTGAAGAGTGAGTAAGGGGGGAATTGTGAGGAACTTACATTTTAAAGCACTCCTAACTATGGATATAATGTGATACAGTGTATTTACTTGTAGGAGTCTGGTCATTTCATGCATTAAGTGTCTGAGAGAGGGGGTTTGAGGAATGTGCTGGAGCGGGGGTTGTGTGAAAGTGGCTGGGAGAGGTGTGAAGTTTAGGACAATGGGGCATAGGCCCAGGTGGGGCTTGTTGGACTTCAGCCAATCAGTGAGCTGATCGATGAGGTGAGGAATGTAACTCTGGGGGGGACAAAGGGTTTGAAGCGCTGGGGGATTTCAGATCTTCTGCTGGCCACCGAGGAGGCAAACCAGCCTCATGGGTGGCTCGGATTGGATCTCACTTTCATTTTATATATGAGTTTGTTTTGTTAATAATTGTGTGATTCGGTTTGTAACTGTTTGTATCTGTTTTTATGCTTCTTGGATAATAAATCCATTTGATTTTTACTTTCACCTGCTGTTGTGTTTTGGAGGCGATTGAGAGCACATAGCTGCAAGGGGGGGGGGGATTTCTCCCTGTGTCCAGAAGTTATGGCCATAACAAATTGTCTTTATATTCATGTGAGATAGCTCATCGATGATCACCCTGAAACAGTCTAATCTAAACTCTCACAGTAGCAGCATATTCCTCATTAGGAAAACACAGGAAAACTATGAAAACTAGTCATTATGCACGTAACTCATGAAAACTAACCCAGTGACCTCGTCTGCTCTATGTGTGAATAGATTTTGATAGAACTTTATTGACTCACTGGAACAGGACGTTTGTCTTAAGGGAATTTTATAACAAGCCTCCCTTTTATCCTGGCACAGACTGATAATGCACAGTGCAATAATTAATGTTTCCCAGTCATGTTAAATAAATGACAGAGCGACTGGAGGATTGAGGTTGTGTGTGTGTGTGTGTGTGTGTGTGTGTGTCTGTGTGTGTGTGTGTGTGTGTGTGTGTGTGTTTGCAGCTACTCACACAGCAGTCGGTCCAATAGATGTGGAGGAAGGGGAAGGTGAGGAGAGCCTTGTTGCCCTCCTTGGGGAGGAGCTCCTCTTTAAACTGGACGAAATTAGCTTCAAGGTGGATCATTTTTGGTGCGCGGCCGTACGTCCTGCATAGAACAGAAAGCAGAGTCTTACATAGTCAATATACAGTTGTGTGAAAAGGTGTTTGCCCCCTTCCTGATTTCTTATTTTAACAAAGATAACACAAGTAAACACAAAATGCAGTTTTTAAATGAAGGTTTTTATTATTAAGGGGGAAAAAAATTCCAAACCTACATGGCCCTGTGTGAAAAAGTGATTGCCCCCCCCCTGTTAAAACATAAATTAACTGTGGTTTATCACATCTTTGGAAAGCTGAGTTCAATTTCTCTAGCCACACCCAGGCCTGATTACTGCCACACCTGTTCTCAATCAAGAAATCACTTAAATAGGACCTGCCTGACAAAGTGAGGTAGACCAAAAGATCCTCAAAAGCTAGACATCATGCTGCGATCCAAAGAAATTCAGGAACAAATGAGAAACAAAGTAATTGAGATCTATCAGTCTGTAAAAGGTTACAAAGCCATTTCTAAAGCTTTGGGACTCCAGCGAACCACAGTGAGAGCCATTATCCACAAATGGCGAAAACATGGAACAGTGGTGAACCTTCCCAGGAGTGGCCGGCCGACCAAAATTACCCCAAGAGCGCAGCGACGACTCATCCAAGAGGTCACAAAAGACCCCAGAACAACATCCAAAGAACTGCAGGCCTCACTTGCCTCAATTAAGGTCAGTGTTCATGACTCCACCATAAGAAAGAGACTGGGCAAAAATGGCCTGCATGGCAGAGTTCCAAGACGAAAACCACTGCTGAGCAAAAAGAACATAAAGGCTCGTCTCAGTTTTGCCAGAAAACATCTTGATGATCCCCAAGACTTTTGGGAAAATACTCTGTGGACTGACGAGACAAAAGTTGAACTTTTTGGAAGGTGTATGTCCCATTACATCTGGCATAAAAGTAACACGGCATTTCAGAAAAGGAACATCATACCAACAGTAAAATATGGTGGTGGTAGTGTGATGGTCTGGGGGTGTTTTGCTGCTTCAGGACCTGGAAGACTTGCTGTGGTAAATGGAACCATGAATTCTGCTGTCTACCAAAAAATCCTGAAGGAGAATGTCCGGCCATCTGTTCGTGACCTCAAGCACTTGGGTTCTGCAGTAGGACAATGATCCAAAACACACCATCAAGTCCACCTCTGAATGGCTTAAGGAAAACAAAATGAAGACTTTGGAGTGGCCTAGTCAAAGTCCCGACCTGAATCCGATTGAGATGCTGTGGCATGACCTTAAAAAGGCGCTTCATGCTCGAAAACCCTCCAATGTGGCTGAATTACAACAATTCTGCAAAGATGAGTGGGCCAAAATTCCTCTACAGCGCTGTAAAAGACTCATTGCTGGTTATCGCAAACGCTTGATTGCAGTTGTTGCTGCTAAGGGTGGCCCAACCAGTTATTAGGTTTAGGGGCAATCACTTTTTCACACAGGGCCATGTAGGTTTGGATTTTTTTTCCCCCTTAATAATAAAAACCTTCATTTAAAAACTGCATTTTGTGTTTACTTGTGTTATCTTTGTCTAATATTTAAATTTGTTTGATGATCTGAAACATTTAAGTGTGACAAACATGCAAAAAAATAAGAAATCAGGAAGGGGGCAAACACTTTTTCACACAACTGTATATGTTCTTTTACGATGATGCGTATCATTTTTACTGCCTCAGGACAAAATATGGCCGTGTGTCTCTGGAACACTGACTCCTACATGTGTTGCTGGATCGGCAGCTTTCTCACAAGCTTAGTTTAAAAGTGTTTGAAAGGAAATTGCAGTTTATTGTCATCGTTTTGACTAATAGCTTTTATTTTAAAACAAACAAAACAATAATCACAAAACAAACACCACCAAAGTAACATTGAAACAGACCAAAATACAAACTCAAATTCATACATCCGAACAAACACAGCATACATCAGCAGACCTAACCACCTAAATAGATAAATAAAATGTAAGGATAATCTTTTTATAAATACTTCCTACTTCTTGCATACCAATTCATTTCATTATTGTATTATTAGGGTCCAAGCAACCGACATCGGGCCAGCGAAGGCCCTATTGAAATTGTACCCGTTTAGGTAAACGCGCATGGTTGGAGGACTTGCCATGCATGAAAACTCACCAAATTTTGGGGACTTGTCAGGCCTGGTGAAAATAGCCATCTGAAAAAGAATGCATCTTTCTGTGTAAAGAAATGGCTCTCTAGCGCCCCCTACAAGTCGGACCGGCGACGCCCCTCGGCCAGTATGTCCGATTGACTTGAAATTTGACACACATGTCCATTTGAGCTAGAGCTACAAAAAAGCCAATCAGACCCCTAAGCTCCGCCTACTTAGATTTTCCGCCATATTGAATTTAGTGTAAAACACATTTCTGCGAACTCCTCCTACATGCTTAGTCCCATTACTACCAAATTTGCTGTGGATCATTACTGGATCTACGTCATCAAGAGTTATCAAAAGCTTTTTGATATCTCTTTTCGTTTAGAAGATATGTACCAATAAACTTCTTAGGTGCGTGGCTTAATATCAATACATATAACTTCTCAACCGTTTGTCCTAAAATTACCAGATTTTCAGCATATGTGCACATTGCATCCTCTAACATACCCTGTGATTTATTTTGCATTCAACAACTAGGGGGTACTACAGTAAACCCTCGAAGTTGTGCTTTTTGTCACTTTTTGCAGATTTCAGCCTTCGCACTTTAACGAACTCCTCCTACAGATTTTAAGCGATCAAATTCTACTTTAGTCAGGATGCTCTTAAGACCTTTGTGATTAAGTTATCAAAATTGAGAGTTTTCATAGAAGAACCTTGACGTGGCGTGGCGGCCATTTTGCCTCATTGTTTATGAAAAAATAAGTTCTTATAAGTTGTTATAACTCCAAGGTACATTATCCAATCCGCATAAAACTTCTTATGCATGATACTACTTCAAGCCTAAACATACTTCAATTGAAAAAAATTACATAACTCATAGCGCCGCCTACTGGCTAAAGGAAATGTCATATTCTATACTTTTATTTATACCTCCTAGCCAGGTGACCTGATTAGTCTAAAATTTGGTAAGGATAGCCTTAAGACATTGATGATGCATCATCATGAATATTGTGAGTTTTTGTTGAACGCTGTTGCCGTGGCGACGCATCGTTCGCCATGAAAAAGGAAGCTGATGGTTTTGTGGGTTAGGATGCTCAAAAACTCATGGAACTTTGTACATGTGTCACAGGTCATATGAAGAAATAGTTTATACAATTTTCTTTATTGGCCGTTTTAAATTGCCTCTATAGCGCCCCCTACTATATTTCAAAAGAGCAGCCCCAGCGCTATGTTTTGGCTACATATATGAAGCTTGGTAGGCACATGTGTCCTATGGAGACTTAAAGAAAAGTCTCTTGGGACCATGCTCCAAACCCTACAGGAAGTCGGCCATTTTCAATTTTGTATGAATTTGTACAATATTTCGACGATGCAGCCCTCGCAGTACGTTTCACTATCTATATATAAAATTTTGATGTATAACATTTGGTAAACAGATGTATCACATGTAGACTTACAAAAAAGCCCTTGGAGCTCTAAGCTCTAAACCCAACCGGAAGTCAGCCATTTTGAATTTAGTGGAAAAAACACATTTTTGCGAACTCCTACACGCTGGGTCTGATTTCTACGAAATTTACTGTGGATCATCATTGGATCTAGATCATCAAAAGTTATCAAAAGCTTTTTGATATCTCTTTGCATTTACAAGATATGGATCAATACACTTCTTAGGGGCGTGGCAAAATATCAATACACATAACTTCTCAACCATTTGTTCTAAATTCCCAAAATATTCAGCATATGTGCACATCGCATCCAGTAACATACCCTGAGAATTTGTTTGCATTCGACCACTAGGGGGCACTACAGTAAACCCGCGAAGCCTACTGGCTAAAGGAAATGTCTGATGTAACTCAGCTGGACTTGTTCCAAACGGTCCCAAACTTAACATGCTTGATAACACTCTGGCCTGATGAGGTCTACAAGCAAATTTTCCCTAATACTCACAGCGCCACCTGCTGGCGAAAGGAAATCTGCGTTTTTTGACAAACACCATCCGATTTACATGACTTTTACACAATGTGGTTTACACTTGATATAGAGCTACATAATGCACGTGTTCTGTAGAGCCAGGCAGCGGATACAGGAAACATCGGTCTATTTGCAAAGCATCATTTCCAGCATCAGGCGGTCCACGCGGGATTAAAAACATCTCACTCGCGGACGCGCTGTCCGACGGTCGCGGACATTCTCGGACGCGCAGGCCAGAGTCCCGCCGGCACCCCCGACGCGCTGGAGGATGCGAGGGCCCGTTCATTGCTGCTCGGAGCTTTAATTATTATTATTATTTGAGACTGCTTTGTTAATGCAAAATAGCGCCAATGATAATATTAATATTATTATTATTATTTATAACTAGAAAATGCATTTCCTGCTGAAAATGCGTTGGAATGCTGAAAGCTGAAATGAATCTCAAAAACATTGCTGAAAATAGATATCCAATTTAAAAAAAAATTGCAAAAAGCTTAATTCAAAAAGTTGAAAGATTACAAATATGAAGTCATATGTAGCTGAAAGTATGAGAAGAAGAAGGCTTTGAAAGTTGAAGAAGTTTAACAGGATTTGAAGATTTTCTCCATAGACATCCCTTTCAAAAGAAAATTGCAAATAGTTTAATATTTCAAAGAATTTAAAGATTACAAATATGAAAATTCATTTCACCCCTCTCCTGAAAGAGCTGAACATTTTGATATTTGAACGGTTTCTGTGGCTTAAAAAATGTCAGCAGTAGTGATATTTGCAGTAGTAGTACTTGTAGAAGTATTATTATTAGTAGAAGTATTAGTAGCATTAGAATAAGTAGTAGTAGTAGCGATATTTGTAATAGTAGTAATAGAAGTTGTAGTTGTAGTAGAAGTATCATTAGTAGTAGAAGTATTAGTAATTAGAAGAAGTAGTAGTATCAGTCGTCGTA